AATGTCTTTTGTCAAGGCTTTCATATATCTGCTTGATGTGTTGTGATACGGTATAAAAGGAAAGTGTGAAATTCATTACTTACTATGAGAGCCTTAACAGGTCTACAGTAAATCTATTTTTTGAAAAAAAAATTGGAGTGTATGCTTAGCTTGGTTAAAATTTTATAATGAAATGACTACTCTGGTAATAAAAATTAATAAATACCGTAAAGTGGGGGCTAAAAATGATACTGCATGTGTTCCAGTTAATGAACATTTTTGTCGTAATAATAAGAGTGATTGAAACCTAAAAACATTTGAGATTTTAAAATAGTTTTAACCTTATAACTACAGGATTATAATTTAAGTAGCATACCTACTTAATAAGGCAGCAATTAAAATTATTGCTAAGAATTAAATTACCAAGAGGACATGGTCTAATATGTATTGCCTGGGCTGTGGTTTGAATTACTTTTGATTAAGTATAATCACATTTTTTGAGAGTTTAAAAACAGAGGATATTACTTGCTTCTAATTCACACATGTGTTTATGAACCATTGGCAATTAAAGCATTTGCAATTGAGGCCTTAAGAAAATTTTAGGTTAAAATCAACATATTGAGGTATGCCTTATAATTCAGTATATGCTTATACTTTATATGCTTTATGGAGTTTTGAATACATAATATATATAATATTATGTTTTTCCAGGAAATACATTTCTTGTAGTTCCTTGACTTACTTTGTAACCAAATCCAATGGAAAAAAGTTATTGAATGTCATGGTTTCTCAGGCAACTGTAGAGCTAGGGAAATGATATACATACATATTGGGAATCTTTTAAAAGGCTTGGACTTGGTAGCTCAAATCTTCTACAACCTTGAGCTTCAACTTTCTGGCCAGCTCAGATTCTTCACTGTCCTTTTAATGTAAAGTCAATGTTTATGGAACACTAGACCGAAATGGAAGGGTTTCTTTGGAAACTGAGCAAGCAATTGAATTAGTCTTTGTCTTAATGGAGTGATTTGATCTAAAATATTATCTGTCAGTTTTAGATATATATTCAATCAGAGCTGCCTCCATATGCGCAAATGATACTTTGTCTTGGATTTTGAGATATCTTAGCCCTCAGACAAGCTGATAGAATTTAAGTTGAACCTGGTGTTTTAGGGACGGTTGAATTGTTGGGTGCCCAGGAAAACAGTCACATTTTTCTATAAGTATGTATTTATTTGGCTGGAATGTGGGGGAGGAAGAAGTTATAAGTGAATTAAAAAAACACTGTCTCAATGTCACATGTTAAAATAAAGAAAATTACGGGCAGAACTACGTGAGTTTATGATTGCTGCCACTGGGAGCAGAGACTATTTGCAGCTTACATGTATAACAGAAGGAGGGATTTAAAATATAGTATTATGCCTGCCCTGGTACAGTTAACCTCCTCCACCTGCTCCCCACACACATACACACACACGCATATCCTCAGACTATGAAAGAAGGGTGTCTCTCAGACATCCTATCTCTAACCCAGCTTCTAACAGGTCCCTGGAGTCTAGTCTTTTTGAACACAGCAGTGAAGATAAGGAATGGGGAAGGGGCTTTGATTTCAAGTCCACTAGATACGATAGATTCCTAATTTAATTTCGAAGACAAATCAATTATTAACACAAATACAAAGAGAACAGTATTTTAAGCAAAGCCTCTGTTGTGGCAGATTACCTTTTAAGGTGTCTCCCAATTGGGTTTCCTATTTTAGATGACTTTTTGAAGAATATATCTCTGTAATAGAAATATATTTGATGATTCTCAACTTTAAGAACTTCACGTTTGCTATAATTAAGATATTTATGAATTTATTGTTAGAAGATTGGTAGAAAAAGTAATGCAACATCAAATGGGAAAATAAATATCTATATAATATTATATAGCTGTTCAAATATAGGGTTTATGATTCTTGTGCTGATTTGAACTGCTGTACAACATCAGGAGAAAAGTCCACAGTTGTGTTAAGAAAGCTCTTATAAGCCTATGAAATTTTATAGCACAGGCTGTCACAGAACCTACAATTTACAAACATTTGTAAAAGTTAGGAAAAGTTTTGGGTTCCTCAATAAAAAATGATTTTGCTTAGCTTTAAGAAATCAACTAATTTATCTCTTTTTATTCTCATCCATTAACAATTAAAGGAACCCAAATGGTTTTTAAAAATTATGATAAAACTAAGCTAATATCACATAGATTTTGAGATACTGTGAATAACCATATAAAATAATAATTTGCTATTTTTCATGTATAAAAATAAGCTTAACATGCTTATCAATACATCTTGAACTATAAGAGATTTATTTCAGCAATGTTGCCAAAGGGCAAGCAATGCCTACTGCGCATAGAAAACTGAATTCCCTAAGCTTGGGGCTCCTCACTTGTCATGTAACCCACTGCGTGTGCACACATCCATCTGTGCCCATCCATGTTCCCCCAAAGGACTTGGAGGCAAGGAAATTGATGCAGACATGCTGGTGCTCATATTGTTTGCTATGCTGTAAGTAATACAGTCCTTTGCTTTGACCCAGGAATCTTCTGCCGCAACCATGAAACAAACTGTCAGGCTCATTTGTTAGCTCACAAGTAGGGCAAAATCTCTCTTCACGGTTCTTCACATGTACTTGTCTGTGCGATGGTCGTCGTCTTCATGAATATAATGATAACATGACATAAGTAGTGAGAAGATCTTACCTATAGGTAAGCAAACACTGCATTATAAAAATAGCATATGTCATTTCATAAATCGCAGTTGACACATTCTAGAGAAGAGATTGGGCAGCCTTCCTTTTTTGGATGGCACAGTTGATTCTACTGTCCTCATTTCTTCCTCTCTTTTCTGGGATATGTGGAAGAATTGCTGTGACAAAGCTCTTCTCCTGGGTGGCCAGGGTTGATTGTCAATTTGTTTTGCTTTTGGCAGGCTAGGCAGATGTCCTGTACCTCCTTCTTCATGCCATGTGACATTCATCCCTTTGATTTTCCTATTGTGTTTTATTTAGTATTTTAGAATACTGCCCACATTCCATTCTGGAAAGTCCGCTGTCCCAGCCAGAGTTTTCTTAGAAAGCTGAGCCTGTGATGGGCATTGGTGCAGGCAGCCTCTTCTGGAAAGTGAGCTCATAAAAGAGGGAAGAATGGAATAGAGAAGAAAAATCCAACGAAAGGGGGCATCATTCAGCTGGTCACTTCTGTGAGCAACTGGGGCATGAACTCCCTGGGAAGCTCTCAGGAAGCCGGTAGAATGTGTTTCTCAGCTGTGCCTCTGAGAGACAGCAGGGGGAATGCATTTATCCCGAGTCCTGTCCAGGGATTCAGCACTGCCTTTGGGGCGCTGACTCCTGGCTCTAAGGAGAGGAATATGAATGCACTGCCTTTGGGGCGCTGACTCCTGGCTCTAAGGAGAGGAATATGAATGAATGGGTTGCGACTGGGTGTCTGCAGGCATCGCAGAGGCCAAGAGACAGAAAGAGAACTCGAACACTTAACTTCTTAGGAGTAACTTCCTAAGAACGCTTAGGAAGGTGCTGCCACATTACACTGTGTGGAGCCCGTTAGCCCAGCACTAGCCAGAGTAAAAGGAGAGCCAAGAAGTACAAAGCAGGGCAGAGGAGGTGACCTGCCACAGTGTAGTTGATAACCAGAGGGCACCTTTCTACAAAATGAGTCCATGTATTTATTCAGTTTTAACACATTTACGTTAAGGAAGCAAGTTTTGCCTTCATGCTGATTTCACAGTTTTTCAGTATTAGATTCAAACTCCTAAGAAAAGCACACCAGCATCTTCAGTTTTTCTCCTCGGCTTTTCTGAGTTACTAATTCCCTTCCCCATTTGTCCTGCCCCCATGGTACTGTCTTCCCTCAGCTGGGCATTTAACTTTTTTTCCTATCACCATGTCTTTGCATATTTTTTTTTCCTGAAAAATCCACAATACCTTGTCCCTAATTTCTCTTGGAATACTACAAACCAAACTGTATGACGCCTTTCCTGACCACACTTCCTCACTTTCATTACTCTGTTCATGGAAAATCCACAACAGGTACCTTTATGGGCCTCTCTTATTACACTGGGCTTATTGTATAGCAGTAGCTTTTGAATATACCACTGTCACATGACTGTGATATAATTGAGAAGTATTTTGTATCACCAGCACCTAGCACCACGCCCAGAATATGATCAGTAGTCAATATCTATAGAATGTGAATAAATGGGTGGCTAGCTCAGATTCATGGAAACAGGGAATGATGAGACTGAAGTAATGGGTCAGCAGAGTTATAGCGTTCAGGGTAGTATTATAAAAATAAAACTGAGAAGCCAACTTTGACCTAAAAGCCCCTTTACTTTTACAGTTGGCATTTTGAATTCAAATATAGGTATTTATCACCTACAACTATCGTTTACCATTTAATTAGACTCAAACTGCATTCCAACCTGTCAGAGTAAGGTGGACCCAGATTCTCTCTTTTAACCACCACTCCCCAAATTTCCTTCATAGCCTCTGTATGAGAGAAATAGAATGAATAGGGTATACATAGGAGATTTACTGTAAAGAACTGGCTCGCGTGGTTATGGAGCCTGGGAAATCTCATCTGCGGGGTGAGCTGGCAGGCTGGAGATTGAAGGAGAGTCGACGTTCTGTTTGAAGGCCGACAGGCCAGAAGAGCTGCTGCAGCAGATGAATTCTAGAGAATTCTCTCTTTTCTGATAGTGGTAGGGGGTATTTTTGTTCCATCCAGGCCTTCAGCTGATGGGTTGAGGCCCACCCACATATGGAGGGCAGTGTGTTCTACTCGACCAATTAAATGGTTAATCTCCTCCCAAAACACCCTCATAGAAGCATCCAGAATAATGTTTGACCAAATATCTGGGACCCCTGGCCTAGTCAGATTGACACATGAAATTACCCATCACATCATCCGTACTTTTGATTAATCAAATTGCCTTTACAAGGAGACAGCTAATAAGTCAGCAAACAAACCGAATGCCGGTGCTGACGCTGCGCTTTTCCGCCCGTTGCTCAGGCATTTCCTCTCCCAGGATCGCCTCATGTCTCAGACCTCCGCAGCACCTCAGAGGTCACCTGCTTCCTTTTAGTGCTTCCACCCAGAACTTCTCTCATTATTCTGTGAAATATGTGTTGAGACTAGAAGACAAACTCCTTTTGAATTTGTATAAAAAAAATTAACATTTTCTTATATCTGCGTCACTCATCGTGGGCTGCAATCCCTTCTTGTCAGCATTTGTTTTGTATTTTACCATCTGAAGAGTTCCCTTTTCAGGTGGTGGGAACCTGAGAAAAATTGTCTATTTTCTTTTTTTAAAATTTTTTTTAATACCTTAAGTTCTAGGGTACATGTGCACAATGTGCAGGTCTGTTACATAAGTATACATGTGCTGTGTTGGTGTGCTGCACCCATTAACTCGTCATTTACATTAGGTATGTCTCCTAATGCTATCCCTCCCCGCTCCCCCGACCCCATGACAGGCCCCAGTGTGTGATGATCCCCTTCCTATGTCCAAGTGTTCTCGTTGTTCAGTTCCCACCTATGAGTGAGAACGTGGGGTTTTTGGTTTTCTGTCCTTGCGATAGTTTGCTCAGAATGATTCTTTCAGCTTTATCCAAGTCCCTACAAAGGACATGAACTCAACCTTTTTTA